TCCTTAAATCCCGACACCTGAAGCCATCTGCCTCTCCTCACGTGAGAGGCCTGTTTAGGGCTCTTCATTATCACCCAACATTTTATTTCCGAATAAAAGCTGATCTGGTCTCCTAATTGGTTTTACTACTTGTATCTTCCCTTCTCCAGTGTCAATGTCATAGAATCATCAAAATAATTTTTCTAAAATACTTATTTTTATACCATTTTCCCATTTAAGGACCTACAGTATATTCCTATTGCATATTAGATAAAACAGAAATGTCTCTTCCCTGTATGTAAAGCACTGCATGACTCGACCCTCCTTTAGTTATTACATTAGGGTTTTATTTTCACTAGTCCTTGGATAGATGCTCTGATCTAGTCAGGCCATTTCCCTGATCTCAGTTTCCTTCCCTTCCCTGTCCCTTACTCTGTCCTCCCAGGACACTTAAACACCCAGTTTCCTTAGAGGAGGAGAGGCTGTTTCTCTTGGGATACTTTCATACTCCCTCCACCCAAATTCTCTCTTTTTTTTAAATACTTATTTATTGCTGATGAATTGGTTTTAGGAATTCTACATTTCTTTAAAAATCACATTCTTCAAAAAACTATCTGAAATTAAGTTTCATCCCACGGTGAGCTTCTACATAAACTTGGCATGCCAGAGCTGGAAGGGAGTTTCCAGCCGTTCAATCTAAACCTCACATCCAGTTTATGACTCCCCACGACAACATCCTTGAGAGATTGATTCTTCCCTCCACTCTGGTATTGGACCAGTATTCTGTGATGGGCTGTGTATTCAAGGATGAAAGAATGAGGTTCCTGCTCTCAAGAAGTTTAAACTCTAACAGGGAAGACAGACAAGTAGTTCAGTTACAACATAGAAAAAGTGAAGGGCCATAAGGAAGTATTATACAAGGCAGGTTGGTGATATGGGGGAGAAAGTGACTAAATCTAAGGAGGAGGGAAGGTTTAAAGGGGAGGTAATACTTCTGTGTCCTGAAGGTAAGGAGCAGTTTACCTGGCAGGCAAGTCAGAAAATGTATTCCTAGGAAGAGGGCAGCATGGAACAGTCTTTTTCTTTCTGAATTTCTCTAGCATGTATGCGTCCAGTCAGCATCACACCACCCTGCTCTTGGAAATCACTTTCCCGTTTAACAAACATCTTGGTATCCTCCAAGCAGAGGATAATTTTTTGGGGGAGAAAGGTTATGTTTTCTCTTGCTTTTGTATGCCTCACATGGCTTAGTAGCATCAGGCAGAAAGGAAGGACTATTTTGTTTGTGTTTCATTTTAACATAAAGAGATACTATTAATATACACACATTGTAAGTAAGATCTATATTTTGAGTTCCTTTATCTGGTCATATTGATGATAGATTTGCCCTGCTTGTCCAGCATTCTGAATTCTAACCATTTATTCCTCCCTTGCCTCCATTTCCTCTGTCCATCCTTCCATTCAACACTGTGTGCCAACACGATGGCTGTGATGGAAGTGTCTCCGGCTGTGGAATGAAACAGAACTAATTGGGCCGTATGGGAGTGGAAACTGGTCTTGAGCTTCCAGCCTGATGGTTTAAATAAGTAAGTTAACCAGCCAGCCATAGACTGGTGGTACATACTTGCTTATTGAATGATTTGAATAATCCCTTTATAATATTCTAGGCATGATAAGTTATGATCATTCTGGGCTTGCTAAGTCATCACAAAAGAATTCTTTCCTTATCAGGGATGTTTATTAATACCCTTAGGTTCTTTAAACAGGTCTGCTTCTGCCTTGTAGCTTCACTCACCACTATCTCCCCTCAAAATATTTGGCTTTAGTGTGGCAGAGTGAAATAGAAAGGAGTATTTGAAGATTGGTTTCTTGTGGGAGAAGGGAGGTCTGTGGCTGTTTTTGCTTTTATGATGGATGTGGCAGATACAGCAGCTAATTATCCCCTAATATCTATTCTCCCTTCTTCCATATTAATAGAACCCCTGAGTTTTAGCTGGGCATGTGGTTACCCAGAATAAAGATTCAGTTTCCCACACTTCCTTGCAGCTTGTTGTGGTAATATGACTAAATTTAGAGCCATGGGATGTGGGAGGGAATGATCTAAACAGCTTCTGGGTTGAGTCCTTTAGGACAAAAAGCATGCTTTACTCTTCGCACTTTGTTTACCTTCCCACTCGATAGAATAGGACTATGATGGTTGATATTCTGGACCAGGGAGATGAGGGCAACACCCTTGGGGCAGAAGAGCAACAAGGTGGAAGGAACCTGGGCCCCTGATTGGAGCTATCACATGAGCCCTAGACGGTTTATGCTAGGATCTCTTATGTCAGAGAGGAATAAATTATCCTGCTTAAGCTATGCTTGTTTTAGGTCTATGTTTCAGCAGCTAATTAATACAATGGGGAATTAAAAAAACTCGTGTCAACTGAGTGATATGAACAAGATGAGAAACACACTTTTAAAGATATTTAATGACTTTTTTTCAAATCAGTACAAAAATTTAAATACAAAAATGATTTGCTGTTGACAAGTCTCAAATCTATCATGGAAACTCAAACAAATTACCAGTCTGTTCACCATTCATTGTGTTCTGAAAAATATTTGAGAACAGTCACCCACTACAGACATTCTTTTCCCCTGTGGGATGTCATACTGCATTAAAACTCTGTATTTAAATAACAATAATGCCAGTTTGGTCCATTTCACATGGAAAAGTTTTAGTTAATTTTGAAGTAAATAGGGATTATAACACTATCCAAAGACTTTAAAACACATGGTTGTTTCATGTGCTTTTACACTAATGTGTTAACATAATATGCGACACTCAAAAGGGAGACACAGGCATATATAATTATTTAAAACTCTTTTTTAAATTAAGTGGAGTATCATTTAGGTCTGAGATTAGCACCATTGTAGAATACACAGTATTTGGCATAGATTTTGCTCCTCCTCCATCTAAAAGTTAGAAGCCTATGCCTGATAATACACATACACACACACACACATATATAGGCAATTGAGTAACAACCAATAAATAAGTTGGAAGATATCTTGAAAAGTGAAATTTGGTTTTAACTAAAGAGATAATGTCTCTCTTGTTTGGTGGGAATTAAAAGCCCATACATGTACAGATAAATACAATTTTACAAATCACCTGATCTGACTTTCTTTCAAGCCATTTCAATGCAGCTATTTAGCAGAAGGAGCCCAGCAGGTCCACGTTGCTCCCCTATTCATCAGCCAAAAACCACCATCCCCAAGACCAGCCCAGAGGATATCTGGCCACATAAATACTGTCTGCTTTGAAAACAAAGGTTGGATAGGACCTTTTTTTGATGGGAAAAGTGTATTATATAATTATCAGTGAATAAGAAACCCTGTGGTAATGAACTAATTTCTCATCTTAAAGATTGAGAAAAAATGGTGCTTGTATACTACATAGGGAAAGGAGATATTGGGCCAGGAGAACGTATTTTTGTGATGGTAAAATGATTCGGATTTGACAAAGACATATTTCCATGTGCTTTTATACAATATTTATTTATGTATTTTTCCATCTATATCTATCCCCTCAACTCCTCATTCTTTTAATTTTGAGAAAAAAATATAAGATTTCACCACCCTAACCCCACATCATTGCCTCAAGTGGCTAATTGTGTCAGCAGCAGGCTAATGGCAGACTTGAAATAGTTTTTCTGTGTTTTGAGAGAGATTGGAATGCCTAAAGCAGTATGTGCCTAAGTGAAAACCTGGAAAAATATTCATTTCTCCTTTTCTAACTTGTATTGGTCCTTGACTTGTGACATTAAAAGCATGGGCTGTTTTTGCTCTTGGACATTTTAGATAGCTCTTGCATAGATTGCTTCTAAAGAAACAGTTCTTTGCCTACAATTTTAGTACCTACACCTGGAAGCAGTATAGCTGTTTTTCGTTGTTATTGTTTTTGTTTTTTTTGAGACAGTCTCACTCTTTTGCCTGGGCTAGAGTGCCGTGGCGTTAGCCTAGCTCACAGCAACCTCAAACTCCTGGGCTCAAGCAATCCTTCTGCCTCAGCCTCCCGAGTAGCTGGGACTACAGGCATGCGCCACCATGCCCGGCTAATTTTTTCTATATATTTTTAGTTGTCCGATTAATTTCTTTCTATTTTTAGTAGAGACGGGGGTCTCACTCTTGCTCAGGCTGGTCTCGAACTCCTGAGCTCAAACAATCTGCCCGCCTCGGCCTCCCAGAGTGCTAGGATTACAGGCGTGAGCCACCGCGCCCGGCCCAGTATAGCTGTTTTTAAATTTCAAACTTCAGAATTATTTTTCTGAAAAATAATTTCAGAATATTTTTGAATAAAAATTAATTTTCCTATAGCTAACTTAAACATTTGTGCCCCTGTAATATGCTGAAATTTAAAAAAAAGGCAAAAAATTTAATTTTCGTATGTAATTCTGAAATTTTCTCCTCTTTTCCTCCAATAAAGAATGGCTGGGATTTTGTAAATTGACTTTGGAACCTCAGATGACACACAAATTTGCATACATACTACAAAGGGAATTTTCTTAAAAATTCACAGCTACTAAAAAATACTGATATCTTTTTGAAATCTCATTGTGGTTGTTTGTGTGTGTAGGCAAAGGAGGGGAATGTTTAATGCATGTAAACACAATTGATAACTGCTATTAAAAATATTCCACAAAACTGGAAATTTATTGGAGGAAGGGTTTTTTTTTTTTTCACTTGTAACTTCCAGGTGTGTATATTAGTTGGACCATAGTGAAAATTGCATGGAGGGAAGAAAAAAGAAAAATAAGTCCTAGGAAAAAACAGAATAGAAACGCTTGAAGAATAAATGAGTCAATTACTGCTCATGTCTCCCAGCTGGTTTGTTAGCTCCTTATGGAGCACTGTTTAATGCTCCACAAGTGTCTGACCCAGTGCTAAGTACAGAGAAGACACTGAATAAATAGAAGATAGTTGATTTGTTCGCCTGTTCTGTTAGAGACACCAGACACACAATTCTGACTAGGACTCCTGTTGCTAAAAGACATAGCCTCTGACATGAATGAAATAACCCTTCGACTAACGTATTACCATAGTCCCATGGCCCCCTCCCACTGGGGCTGTGACACCGCAGACCCCTCCCCAGCACATTCCATGGCAAAGTATCTGCACAAATATAGAGGAAATTATGCAAGTAAATACGGTATGTAATTGTTATCATTGACATTTCTTTAAGGCATATTTATAAATATTTTAAAGTAAACAATATGAGTGACTTTCATTAGCTATGATCGTTCATACTGAAATATTTTGACTGATCTGAATAAGCAGGTTACTGTGGAAGCATATAACATACAACAGCTAATATGATTCCAGTGGGTACAACACAAGTGTCAGTACTTGATACATAAATCTATCCCATCATTTTTCAATTACAAGCTGCTGTGCAGTGTATTAAACATGCATCTTAGTTTTTATTTGTACATGATGGTCCAAATTTTCACTTAAATATAACTTTCCAACTATATAAGTGTTTTGAAGCAAGTATGTTTTTCATTTGGATTTTTTGGTGCATCATTTTCTTTTCTTCTATTAAATCTCTCTCTTTTTTCTTTTTTTTTACATGGGATACAATAAATATCCTGAAAAGGAGGAGTGGACGTACTGCCCAGCATACAATCCTGCAGCCTGTTCTGAGGGCATCTGGAGGAACACCCGGTCTCCGGGCCTGAGCAGCAGCACCGCACTCCCAGATGCCTGGTCCAGGAAGCCCTTTTTGTACTCGTCGTATGTGTACATCATGGGCTCGTTGTTCTTGAACAGAGCAACCCACACATTGCCCCCCTTGCAGTGAACGTGGTATGCAAAGTAGTAGACACCGGGGACCTCACAGGTGAAGATGCCCGTCTGTGGGTTGTAGTTCTGTCTGCCGTTATAGAGCAGTTTGTCAAACTTCACTGGGGCCCCCACTGGTGGGAAAGGTGCGGTGAGCTCAGCGGTAAATGCAGGCATCTCGTAGGCTGGCCCTCCATTCTTGCCTTTCTTAGCCCCGTAGGCATGGGGAGGTTTCACGCCATCAATTCCAAGCCCCATATCTGGCAGATACTCTCCATGGGGTGGTGGCGTAGGAGGCATCACAGCTGGGGGGCCTGGGGGCCCTGGAGGGCCTGGGGGCCCTGGAAGGCCAGGTTGGCCTTGAGGACCAAGGGCACCAGGCTTCCCTGGTGGGCCATGAAGTCCTGCCACTCCAGGCTTCCCTACACCAGGGAACCCAGGGGGCCCCGGCAGGCCTGGTTCTCCTTTGGGGCCTGGAATCCCAGGTGGTCCAATGGGGCCACTAGGGCCTGCAATCCCTGGGATACCTGAAGGGCCCTGTAAACCCTGATCCCCTGGGATTCCTGGTTCTCCCTTTGGTCCAAGAAGCCCTGGAACACCAGGGAGCCCTGGCAAACCTTTGAGCCCAGCTTCCCCCTTGGGCCCTATGGGACCTGGCAAACCCCTCATGCCAGGAGGTCCTGCTTCACCAAGGAAACCTGGCTTTCCTGGGAACCCTTGAAGCCCTGGCTCACCTTTGGGACCTGGTGGCCCCTGTGGCCCCACAACCCCACCTTCTCCCTTGGGCCCAGGAAAACCAATAGCACCTGGAGGACCCATAGGACCCGGGATTCCAGGCAGGCCTGGCTCTCCTGGGGGACCTCCCACTCCAGGGGCACCTGCTGGTCCTTTCTCCCCTCTTGGTCCAATAGCCCCAGGAAGACCCCCTACGCCTCGGTCACCTTTAGGTCCTGGGAAGCCTGGCTTCCCAATCCCTGGAAGGCCTGGGGGTCCTGGCAGCCCTGGCAGTCCTTGCTCTCCTTTGCCACCTGGAAATCCTGGCTGGCCAGGGATCCCATCCTGGCCTGGTTTTCCAACTCCAGGTATCCCAGGAGGTCCTTGAACCCCTGGTATACCAATAGGACCTTGTGGCCCAGGTTCTCCTGGAGGCCCTGGCTTTCCCAGGGGGCCCTGGGGGCCAGGGAAGCCTGTCACTCCTGGTTTGCCCACTCCTGGCAGTCCAACAGGGCCTGGAGGGCCATGCATCCCTGGAGGACCCTTCAGGCCTGGCAAACCTGGCATCCCGAAGCCCTTCTCTCCTTTAGGACCCTGAAGGCCTGGAGGTCCTGGTGGTCCTTTGGGGCCCCGATCACCCTTTGCTCCAGGTGGTCCTGGTAGCCCTGGCCCACCTGGCTTCCCAATGCCAGGAAGTCCATGAGGCCCCGGAGGTCCTTGGGGTCCTGGGATCCCCATAGGCCCAACTTCCCCTTTAGGTCCAATTTCACCTTTTGCCCCAGGCATTCCCATGGCTCCTGGCTTCCCTGGCATTCCAGGCATACCTGGCTTTCCAACTCCTGGATATCCCTGTGGCCCTGGTTTTCCTTTGATTCCAGGTATCCCATGCCCTGGCAAACCAGGGGGCCCAGGTGGTCCTCTTGGGCCAGGCTCTCCACGGGGACCTTGTTCCCCTCGTAAACTGGCTAATGGTATTTCTACTGGGAAAGAAGGGGTTGGGGGGGGAGAGAGAGAGAGAGAGAAAGAGAGAGATATTGGTTAATACTGTTTATCCTTCACATCAATGAAGTAATGACACCATATTTAGTTCTGACACATTTGCCTATTACTTATCAATAGAAAAGACTAGGACTAATTTGCTCATCTTCCAGGGTTTAAAGGACAATCAAGCTAATAATTTCTTTGGGGTATGTGAAGTATTATTTTGAGAACTGATATGTGCAGCTGCTTGTATCAGCATTGGTTAAAGGAAAAAGCTAAAAGGTAATGAAAAAACATTTTTCCAAGTACAAAACTTGGAGATATTATGGTCTGTTCATTATAGTGAATTTGGAAAATTCAAAGATTTATAAATAAAAATCAAAGTTTCCTATAAGCCCAGTACTCAGAGATAACCACTTGACATTTATATGTATTTTCATCTCATTTGTTCTGGGGGAAGTGTGTGTGTGTGTGTGTGTGTGTGTGTGTGTATGTATTTTAAACAATATTGGAATCATCCATTTTTATTTTTTCTATTTTTTCTACTTAAAGTTATACTGTATTTTTCCATGACCTTGATTTGTTTTTATTTTATTTAAAAAATATTTTTATTGTAAACTGACAAATTATAGTTGTATATTATTTATGGGGTACACAGTGATGTTAAGATTTATGAATACAATGTGGAATAATTAAATCAATCTAAACATGTCCATCACCTCAAATACATATCATTTTTTTGTGGTGAGAACATTTGAAATTTACTCTTAGCAATTTTGAAATGTACAGGACATTAACTATATTTACCATGCTGTGCAATAGATCTCTGAAAAACAACTTATTTTTCCTAACTGAGGCTTTGTACCCATTGACCATCATCTCCTCATTCTCCCTAGCCCCATCCCAACCTCTAGTAACCACTATTATCCTCTGTGCTCCTATGAGTTTGATTGTTTTAGATCCTACATATTAGTAAGGACATGCTGTATTTGTTTTTCTGTGCATAGCTGATTTTTTAAATATAATAATTTACAGCTAAATAACATTACCTCTTATACTGAAATATGATATGATGTGGATGATGAAAGTCATTATTATGTGGACTCAAGAAAGAATAGAAGTATTTTATATGTGGTTGAATAACATCTTTTTACATCTGTCCTTTACAGTCAATAGATTTGCTTAATTTCTTTAATGTGCTGTAGGATTTCCTAAACCTCAAGTATTCATTCTTTAACAAATTATTTCTGATAGGCAAATCTGGTTTTTTAATAGGAGAGGTGAAATAAGATATTTTAGAATGATAAGCAGCATGGATAAGGAAGGGAGCTTGATTTAGGAGCAGGAAGTTCTGCTTATCTTTCTGGTCTTGGCTTGAGGTCATGACTTGGTCCCTCAAGCCATCAGAATCTCTTCTTGCCTATCTGTACAGCAGGAATACAGCCACTCTACAAGGTTAGAGAATAGATGCGAAAGGTTTCTTGAATTGTTATTGAAATACAAAGCACGTGGTGTTACAATGATTATGCTATGCCTTGCAAATAAACACAATGCTGCTGGGACTAATGGATTACATGAAGAAATGAAATGTATGATCCCAATATTTTATTTTAATCATCGGTAACATCAGTGCGTTTTTGTACCATTGTACTTTTCACTGAGCTACTGTGAAGGAACAAAATAGAAACAGAAAATTCATATTCTTTTTAAATACAAGTACCCACCAGAGTAAGTACAAGAATTACCGAAGGCCAGGCAAACCACTCAAGAAAGGAAGGAAAACAAATGGCAGAGATAATCTAAGCAGAACACTAGCTCCTACAGAAAAGAAAATTGGGGAATACTTCTCTTATCATAATAGATATGATTATAGTACTATTAAGGCATATTATTTCTAAGCAGTGAAATGTATAGTTGCTTTATCAAGGGAGTGTCTGGGGAAGGGTTACATCTTATTTGTCAGAAATCCCTGGTGTCTAGCACAGTGCCTAGAACGTACTGTATCCTTACTAAGGATTTTTTGAACAACCAGTTGTAGCAACTCAAAGTTCCTATGGTGCTTTAGCATTTACTCTGCACTTTACTTACCTTTTATGTCATTGATTCTGTCAATAATCTCATTTTACAGATGAGGAAAAATAGGCTTAGAGAGGTGAAATGACTAGGTCTCTCTCATTTCCGGCATCCAGGCATTGAGGCCTCTTACTGCCAAATCCGGTAGTTTCCCAGAGGTGGAGCTTCCTAGTGGGAATGGCCTCCACTTCCTCAAAGGTAATTGCTATTCTGATGCATATTTTTTCCTACAAATGCTAGGTTTCTGAGAACTCCAGATAAACCAACTAAATGTATAATTAAGTGTCTATCACAGTGAGGGGCATTTTATAGGTGCTGAGTAACTAATAAATATGCCTAGAAGGTAACGGGAGAGATTTTCAGGTATCATCCCTAGATGCATTCTGTATTCTTAGTTTCCTTCTATTGATCTATTGTTGATTGACATGTAAAGCTTAATTGGAGCAGTATTAAAAACACTTGCATTTATATAATACCTAGTTTGCAAAATGTTTTCATGTGACTTTTCTTTTAACACAGCAGGTTTTTATAACATTGTTCTCCTAGTTCAGAACACTGACTTGTCACCTCTCTCTTTTTTTTTTTCACTGTTTTATCTCCCCAGTATCTGGTCCAGAGCCTGACACAAAATAGGCACACATTAGATAGTTGCTAAATGTTTGAATAAAGAAATAATAAGGGGATAGACTATTTGTGATTAAATATGTTGTGTTTCATCTGATACTTGTTAGAATAATAAAGCAAAACAAAATGGAAATTTTGTCTTTTTTTTTTAAGACTTGAACTTTTAAAGAATAGGGTTTAGAACTCAGTAGCCATTTAATAAATGTCAAAAACAAAAAAAAGTTTCTAAAATTTAGCTTCTCCCCCAGATCCCATAATTTTGGAGTTTGGAAATCTGCTGTTTAATAACAGCGTGGGAGTATGATGTTACCTTTGCCTTTCTTGGGTACCGCTTCCTTGCCCATTCTTGGAGCAGGTTGAATTTCCTTCATATATTGGGGTAAGTGTGGATACTCTTTGCCATACTGCAAGTGAGGCATCTCCTTGCCCATGGCAAGGCCATCTTTGCCCATAGGCATGTGAGGTACTTGCTGACCCAGGGGCTGGTATTGTGGAATTTGCGGTGGCATCTGAGGAGGAATTTGAGGTGGCAGTGGCTTGATCCCATAGTAGGCACCAGCCTGAATGAGCCTGATGGAGCTTAGGGAAATGGTAAGCAGCACTCCCAGCAGCTGCAGAGGGCCAGGCGGCACAGCCATCACCTGTGGAAGGAAGGGATGCACCAACATGGTGAAAACCTGTGGGCCAGGTGACTTTATTTAGAGACAGAAGGAAAAAAATGGGAAACACAGTTTTTATCATCAGAACTTCATGGTAGAAGGCAAATGAAAAGGAAGATACTACCTTTCTGTAGAAAACAACCACACAAAAATCTAACAAACAAAAACCAGATCATAGGATACATCAAATAAAGGCACTTGGTGGGAATATAGACTATGGGAGAGATTGCTGGTCCTCTCCAAATATCAATTCTGCCCTTCCTCTATAGTATTGGAACTCCTGATTTTCAGCTGGGAACAGAGCAGCCCAGAATGAAGTCATTTCAGCCAGGCAGGATTTGTGACAAAGTTCTGGCTAATTGTAGGTATTAATAGATGTAATGGGTGCGCCTTCCAGGAAGAATCCTGAAAAGGAGTTGGCATGTCCTCTCCTTCCTCTTTCCTACTGGCTGGAATGCTGACACGTTGCCTGGAAATGGAGCAGACACTTTGGACCATGGGGTGAAAGCTGGTCATTGGGGATGGTGGAGCAATAAGCCAGAAGAGACCTCAGCCCTGGTTAAACATGGGGGCGCCATTCCCAGCCTTAAATTTGGAATTTGTTTACGAAAGAGAGAGAAGTAAAGTTTTTTGTCTCTAAGCCACTGTTATTTTGGGTGTTCTGTATTTGCATGAAACCTAATCCTAGCAGAATGGATTCTGATAAAAGGAGGCAAACCTGGTGGCAAGTTAGGCTTTGTTAATAAGTGCCAGAATTTCTATTCTAAAAGGAAACAGTAAATAATTTATAGGCTGTATGCTAGCACAGATATTTTTTTATCTGCTAGATGCCTTTTGGCTGCTTTGATGTAGTCACAAATACGTGTAAAGAGCAAGTAACAACAAAAAAGGCAGAAGTCTTCTGAATCAGAGAGAAAGTGCTTTATGTGACAGTATCAAAGTGTCATTTAGAAAATCACTATCATCATTATGCACATTTCTTTCTTCTATTTAAATATTATGAAGTCATTAGTTTAGAATTCGGCTAATTGGACCTGGAGTCCATTAAAGTCTATCTTTGTACTTTTATGAAAGAAAGGAGTTTACAAAGCAAATTAGTTGTAATAAATAAGACAGGGGGAGATATTTAATTATTGACAAAAATAAACCATTTATAAGTCCTTTAATAACACTCTTTGAAAAGTGGCACTTAATGGAATAAATACAAATGGGGTGTTTCTATTTATAAAAACCAGCTTGAAGAGACCTCTGGAAACGCCCTAGTCTGAAGACCAAACAGCCCAGGGAAATGCAGTGTTGGCAAATGCGCACTAGAGGGCAGGTGTGGTACACACCTAAGTTTATTCAGTCCGCGCCCCTCCCCCCTCCCGTACTAACACTGGGCAGATACCCACCAAACTTTCACACCTCATCAAAGGACTTACTGCAAATCTGAATCCTAAATGGAGTAGGTCATCATAATGCTGGAGAGAAAGAGAGAAGTGGCCAATTTCTCACAATTTTTAATGTAAGCATCTTCTGGAAAACTCTGAAAAACCCTCTGTCTATAAATAATTTAATTTCCATCCTCATGGGAGTTTGTTTTCTTTGCTTCTGCCTTACTTAATTCTGGATCATAACTTTCCACTTCTTAGAAAATGTGCGTTGACTCTGCAATATCCTATTCAAGAGTAATGCCAAGAGTGTAAACAGGCTACAGAAGGATTGGTTAATAAAAAGCACCTAAGTAAATATTTAATATGAATCCCTACCACAAAATTCTCTGCTTTATAATTTTGCTAAATATACTAACTAATCTTTTTTTTTTTTTACCCTTTGGGGAAAAAAATGAAGAAACATTTATCAGCAAAGTGATTTATAAAATTTTCTCCATTTCATAAATCAGAATACTCTCAAGAACTGTTTATTTCAAATGTACTCTTAATAATATATGTATTGATAAAATGAGAGAAATAGCTGTTATTTTCTGTCCTTCTATGGATGATTGTTATAAACCACTTGGATAGAGCCACAAAATTAATGTTGATTTATACTTACTAATAGGCAAATTTATTTTAGGTGGAAAAAGAACATCTGCCATAAATACTGAACAGTAATTTATTGAATTCTTACTGGAAAAAATGCTAGGCCCACCCAGGGATTACAAAGTTGTTTGAAGCAACAACTTATCTCATTTCTTCCCATATTTTTGAGGTATTCTATGAATATATACATAGAATATACATACAATATGTAATATACATTTTTTTACAAAATAAACGATAGCATACTATACACATTTGTATTTCTTCTAGTTCTTTTTTCCACTCAAAGATCAATACTTACTTGTTGCCTAGTTATATATATCTAAGCAAATCCCTTTAAGTTCTTCATTTGTTAAAAATAAGACTTGGATGTTATCTTAATTCCTATCACGCTCTAACATTCAACATCGCTAAAGCAGTCACTAGAAAGCTGAAAGTGTTAATCCATACCAGAGATATGAAGTAATACCTGATAATGTATAAGCTGAGACTTAATTCTACTTTTGGAGATGAATGAATTTAATTATTGAACCCTAGACTTGTGATGATGTCTTTATTGATAAGCTAGTTTGCTTGGCCCTTCACCCTTTCATCAACTCAGTGGATGTATTGGATTATACTTAATAATCTTTAAACCAGGACACTCTCAGGAAATACTGGAAAACTGGAAAGAGATGAAATGCCTGGAAAAAGACCAGTTGAATACCAAAGACCCACTGGGATCCTGCTTTACTACAATTATTTCCTCTCGTGTCTTGGCTTTTCTCTCCCCAAAACCACCTCCTTAGGTCTGCTATCTGCCATTTCTTTGGCCCTTTGTTTAAATAAACTTTGTTCAATTTTAACTTGAATACTTATGTAGGGGCCCTGGTGAGAATTTACCACTTGACTTATTCCTGCTAATTTCTCTCTTGTCCCTGAGGATATTTTTGGTGGTTATAGTGGTGTGGTGGTTCTCCCAAATTACTGAAAAGAACATCAGATTTGTGTAACATTATACAAACACCTGGCAGGGAAGAAAGAGACTTGGAATTCTTGCTGGGAAGCCATGGTGATAGTGGGTTTTCTTGCCTCTCTTCTTTTTCTGAGAATGTGGAACACAGTAATATTGTGAGTTCTACTTGATGTTGCCTTTGATTTCTATTTGTTTGACAATGGATGTGTGTGTGTGTGTATGTGAACATAAGCATACCTAATGTGTGTAGGCACTGAATCCTTGCCAGTCAGGCTGGCTTAGTGATGTGTGTCCTGTCATATGAGAAAAACTGCAGAAGTCAAAGAATTGTGTTTGAGTGTTGGCTTTTCCATTTTCCATACCTATGACCTTGGGCAAGTCCCTTATCTTTACTAAGCCTCAGTTTCCTCATCTATAAAACAGAAATGACAATTTCTGCCTATCCCTTAGAGCTGTTCAAGGGTGCAAATGATAATATGCATTCTTTGTAAGCTGAAAAGCACTGTTCGAATTTAAGGTATTTTTAATGGAATGTGACCAAAATGTCATAGACTTTCAGAGAAGGATACTGGCCAAAGTAAATGTGAGGTTAACAGCAATAATGATAAATGTAACATGAATAATACAATAATGGCCGTTAAAATGTACTTGTTAAAAATGGTGAAAAAGAACAGCTGGACCAAGGCAGTCTTTCATTCTGGTGTCAGAGCCACCAATCCTAAACGTTTTAAATAGCCCTAAATGGTTCCTTTTATTTGGGCAGGGCTGCAGAGGGTTTCCGTTTCCTCATGTGACCTGTAATGTATATAACAGAATAATATGTTATATATTATTTTAGACACTTCCCAGCATTGTATTCATACATTTATCCTCCTGAGACTTGGGCTTGCTATACAAAAGAATGTTTAGATATTTGCCCTAAATCCAATTTTCCCCTTCACACAGGGCTAACACAGCATGTCTGTGTGTATGTATGCGTGGGCATACGTGTCTATGTTGTGTGTGGTGTGCTGGTCTGCTCCTGGGCTGGTCCTCTGTGCCCCCTCCTTGTCCTTTGCACAGGATTTGTAATTTCTCGAGAGCCTCAGATTTGCCACCCCTAAAGCAAGGAAAAGTCAGGCAAAACTCTCCTCCAGTGTTCACTGGAATTGCCTTCCTAGCTTTTCCATGCCTCTCAAAGAAAATTCTCTTTTAATTGCATTTCTCAGGGCAATTCATTAGATATAGATACTTACTGAACAGCTACAAATTGTTAGGAAATGTTCTGGGTACTGGAGATACTGTGGTGAATGAGAGAGCTGAGGTCTTATATTATTGAACTCACATTCCAGTGTGGGGAGACAGGTGATAAACAAGTTAAAAATAAATTTTATAATTTCAGATTTGAGTGCTATGAAGAAAAAAAAGCAGGTGTCTTGGTCCATTAAGGCTGCTATAATGAATGGTATCACAGACTGAGTGGTTTATAAACAATAGAAATTTATTTGTCATGGTTCTTGAGGCTGGCAAGTCCAAGATTAAGATGCCAGCAGATTGGGTGTTTGGTGAAGGCCCACTTTCGGGTTCATAGATGGCAACTTTTTGCTGTGTCCCTACATGGTGGAAAGGGCAAGGGAGCTCTCTGGGGTCTTTTTTATAAGAGTACTGATACCATTCATGAGAGCTCTGCCCTCATGACCCAATCAACTCCCATAGGCCCCACCTCCTAATACCATTGCATTTGGGGCTAGGATTTCAACATATGAATTTTGTGGGGGACACAAACATTCGGTGTATAGAAGCAGGGTAAAGGGCTCAAGAATAACTGGGAGTGGAAGAAACTGTTTTGGAAAGATTGATAGGGGAAGACATCTCTGAGGAAGTACATTCTGGATAGATTTGTGATGGCTGAGAAGTTTATTTTCTCTCTCTTAAGACACCATATGGGGGAAAAAGAGTCCTACTTATTACGATGGTGGTGGTAGATACATTTTCACTAATATAAACCCCTGTTTCAAAAATAT